TTGTTTTCTGTTTCTCCCATGGGTTCTCTATTTTATACCTTCCTCTGGATTAATTGAATATTTTTGTGACTCCTTTTTATTTTCTTTCTTGGCTGTAACTTTTTTGTCTTATTTGTGTGGTGGTTTTAGGGTTTATAGTACATACCTTTAATCCATAACAGCTCACCTTCAAGTTATACTAAGCCTATTTCATAAATGCTGAAAGAATTTTACAACAATATTCTACCAACAGTATTTTCCCCTCCTGATCTTTTGCTATTATTGCCAAACAGTTCAATTAAACAGTCCAATTATCTTTCAGAGACATTTCATTCAATTGGAAGAATAGCCTCATTGTGTATCCATATACTTACCATTTCCAGAGCTCTTCTTTCCATCTGTGATCATTCTCCCTCCACCTCATGTTACCATTTCCAGACCTCTTCACTCCTGCGTGGAGACCCAGGTTTCCATCTGTGATCATTCTCCTTCCACCTAACAGACTTGACATTTCTTCTAGCATAGGTTTGCTGGTGACAAGTTCTTTCAGCTTGTCAATGTCTAACAAAGTCTTTATTTCACCTTCATTTTTGAAAGAGATTGTTGTTGGGTATAGAATTCTAGGTTGACAGGTTCAGTACTTTAAAGATTGTACTCTACTCTTATCTCATTTGCATTATTTCCTATGACAACTCCTTATCTACGTACTCTGTAACATCTTTCTGTATTTGCATGTAAGATTTTTTATCACAAGTTTTGAGCAATATTCGATTATGACGTGTAGTTTGTAACACTACTCTAAGAGATACGCTTCAAATACGAAGACACAGGCCAAAAGGTAAGGGGTGGGAAAGCAAACCATACAAACACAAGTGACGAGAAGGCTGGACTGGCCACCTTCACACCAGACAAAGCAGAATTCAGAGCAAAGAATGTGATCAGGAGTAAAGAGGCTATTTCACAGTGTTCATCAGGAGGTCAGAAGACTCTCAAACATCTATGCACCTGGTAATAGAGCTTCAAAAGACATGAGGCAAAAATGGATAGAACTGCAAGCAGACGTAGACAAATTCATAAAGTTGGAGATTTCAACAACAGATAAAGCAGGTAGATACAAAATAAGGATACAGAAGAGTTGAAAAACACTACCAACTAACATGATCTAATTAACATAGGCAGTTTGTGACAATTTGATTATTTGTCAATCAAACTACAATCAAAGTGATCAATAGTGTCATATTGTCATGCAGTAAAATGTGACCATTTGGTTACTTGGTGTCGTTTTCCTCGTTTTTTTGTGCTTGGAGTTCGTTGAGTTGCTTGAATCTATAGGTCTATCATTGTCATTACCTTCAGAAAATATTTGGCCAGTGTTTCTTCAAACATTGTTTCTGTACCTCTCCAGGATGTGAGGAAGCTTACACAGGTGTGAGTGCTGAGCCCTGTCTGGGGTGGAGGGTGTGTGAGTCAATACTAAGTATCTGTTACCCAAAGACTCAGAAAAACTTTTACTTTGGTTTCTCTAAAATGGGCTTTTCCCACTAACATCAGAGTTCCACACTGTTTGGTTTCTGGATTCAGGCTGTTTCAGATCTGCTGTCGCCCAGCACACCCCAAGCCTCAGTGGCTTAGAGCCGCAGCATCTTTCTCCTGGTCTGTGATGGGCTCTGCTGGGCCGGCTCCTCTCCCCTGGTCCTGTGATGGGCTCCGCTGGGCGGCTCCGCTCTCCCCTGGTCTGTGATGGGCTCGGCTGGAGCGGCTCCTCTCTCTCCTGGTCTGTAGCCCGGAGGGCTCCGCTGGGCGGCTCCTCTCTCCTTAGTCCTGTGATGGGCTCTGTAGTAGCTCCTCTCTCCCTGGTCCTGTGATGAGCTCCGCTGGGCGCTCCGCTCTCCCCTGGTCTGTGATGGGCTCCGCTGGGCGGCTCCTCTCTCTCCTGGTCTGTGATGGGCTCAGCTGGGGCGCTTCTCTCTCCTTAGTCCTGTGATGGGCTCTGCTGGGGCGCTCCTCCCCTGGTCCTGTGATGGGCTCCGTGAGCGCTCCTCCTCTCCCTGGTCCTGTGATGGTCTCTCCCCTGGTCCTGTGATGGGCTCCGCTGGGCGGCTCCTCTCTCTCCTGGTCTGTGATGGGCTCCGCTGGGTGGCTCCTCTCTCCCCTGGTCCTGTGATGGGCTCCACTGGGCGGCTCCTCTCTCTCCTGGTCCTGTGATGGACTCTGCTGGGCAGCTCCTCTCTCCCCTGGTCCTGTGATGGGCTCCGCTGGGCGGCTCTTCTGCTGCACATGGTGTCAGGTGGGGTCATTCACGAGCTGATAGCCAGGCCGAGAGGTCCAGGAAGGCTTCACTTGTTCTGGAACTTAGTGTGTCTCCTGGTGGCCTTGCCACATGGCCACCATGGGCTTCCTCACAGCTTGGTGGCCTCAGAGTAGAGGGATCTTTCATGGGGCTGGATCTGCCTCTTCAAGGACTGAGCTTGAGAGTTAGAACATCACTCACTGCATTCTCTTGGCCAAAGCTGAGCCCCAAGGTCAGCTGGGGAGGCAAACCCCGCTCAGGGGGGGCCAAGGTCAGTTGGGGAGGCGAACCCCACTCAGGGAGGGGCAGCAGCCACCACAGCTGGGCCTCAGGTTCTTCTCATTTTAACACAGCGTTGGGTCACGTCAGCCCCGTTTCTGCCACATTTGTCACCATCTTTGCCACTCACTGTCGTTTTCCTCCATCTGCGATTGCCGTGATGGGAAGGGGGGTTGCATGTCCACAAAGGCATCGCACTGTGCGCCTGCCGTGGCCCCTTCCCAGGTGAGGGTCTCAGCCAGTGGCAGTCACCACTTTGGGACACAAACATCCAAGGGCCGCTTCCCACAGGGACCTTTGTGATTGGCTTGTTCCTGGAACAAATGGGACCTGCCTTCTTCGTCCCAGGACCCTCACCTGATAAGCATAAGCAGTCTCCTCTCCCCTGCCACACGTTAGCAGCCCCAGCGTGCAGGAGGGAAGGAGAGGTTCAAGTCCCCCACCCCAGAAGCCAGACCGAGAGCTGGGACTTCAGGTGTGGGCCTAGCCCTGGAGATGCTTGTTCCCAGCACCTGGCCAAGCCTGCCGCCTCCTGCGTGGGTCTCGCCACAACCCCAAACGCACAGTGAGCAGCAGCCTGCAAGGGGAGTGGCAGCCCAGGCGTTCTGGTTCTTCTCTGGCTTTTCATTGTGGGCACTGGGGGGTGGGTCCCAACAGACAACACTCGTTCTCCCCCAAGATCTGCTGCCTTCTAAGTCCCTAAACAGGTGTCATCCCCTTCACACTTTCCTCATGTTTTTCTTATTTAAAATTGTCTTTTAGGAGAAGTTTGCAGGCTGTTCCCTGAGGTCTGGGCCAGCAGCCCTGCCATGCCCTGACCCACCATTCCCCTGGCTGCGGGCTGAATGTCCTGGCCGCACGGGAGTTCCTGGCCTTGCCATGCAGTGTGACACTGCCACACCCACCTCACGGCCCACAGCCGAGTTTCCGGTCATGATGTTTTCTCCCAGCCTCGGTGTAAACAAAAATAACTCTTTGCCCTGTAAGCAAATGAGCAGAGGCCTCAGGACCCTCCCCAGCCCACGGCTCTCAGGGGCACTGGGGCCCTGTGCCCGGACACCCCCTCTTGGGTGTGCACGTGGCCGCCTCTCCTGCACATCCCACACCCCCACCCCGGAGCGAGTGCTGCCCAGCACAGCCCCTACGTGCGCTTTCTGCCACCTGAGGGCCCCGACCTCCACGCATCCTCTCTGGACCCCGGGAGTCCCAGGACCAGGGTGCAGACTCGGAAGCGTCTGGGGGCTGCCTCCCTCTCTGCAGGGCTTGTCATTGTCCCTAGTCCGGCTGTGCCGGACCCCATGGTTCCTGTGGGCTGTGCTATCCAGGCCTTCAGCCCTGAGCAGCATGCGGGCAGGCCCCTCTGCAAAGCCAGGCAGAGCGTGCAGCATCGTCCATCACAGGCACTTTTCCCATCACCACCCTGGGCTCAGCGACTCACATGGCCCTGGCAGTGCCACTCCGGGTCCCATCGTCGGGGGTTTCCAGGAAGCAGCGTGTGGGGGCCTGGACCCCGTTTGACAGTCGGGCGTTCTCACTCCAGACAAGTCTGCACAACCGCTCTGATTTGATTGATGGATCGATTGACTAATACAAGGTCTTGTTCTGTCGCCTAGGCTGAGTGGCGTGGCACAGTCATGGCTCACGGCAGCCTCCACCTCCTGGGTCCTAGCGATCCTTCTGCCTCAGCCTCCCAGGTGGCTGGGGCTACGGGCATGCACCACCATGCCCAGCTAATTTTTTATTTTTATAGAAATGGGGTCTTGATATGTTGTCAGGCTGGCCTCAAACTCCTGGGCTTAAGTGACCTGCCTGCCTTGGCCTCCCCAAGTGCTGGGATCACAGGCCTGGCCTTGATAGTTTTCAGTTATGGTGCAGAGCAAGTTCCCGCCCTTCCTCCTGACAGGGCTGCCGATTGGACCCCAGGTGTGGGGACTCCTCTGTGCCTTGGCCTGGGAGGCTTCAAGGTCCCCACAGCCACGTTTTGCGCTTAGAGCCTTGAGCTGGGCTCGGGGCCCCCAACCGGCACGTCCCCACCCACGTGCCCATCCCCAGGGAGAGGCATCCTGAGCCTGAGGGCACCTGCGGACCCCAGCTCCTGGGGGTTGTGTGGGCAGCGGGCAGCGCGTTCTCCGACCGCCTGTGTTCTCGAGTTCGGCACGGACGGTTACAGGTGTTGTCTCCTTCAGTTAGGATGTGTATTCTTGGCTTTTAGATGATAAAGATTTTAAGACAAAAATAAACACTTTGCTTTTGCTTTAAAAGCTCGCTTCCCCCTCAGTGTCCCATGGCTCTCAGGCTGGCAGGTGGGCTCCACGTGTGCAGGGTGAGGCAAGCCAGGGGGATCCTGTGTGCAGTAGGGGCCGGGGTCAGGGGGCCAGGGACCCACATGCCTATCCCTAGCCCCACCCCCCGAGATTGGCCAGGCACCTCACGGCCCCTCCTGTCCCTGCAGACCCAGCCGGTGCCCAACCCTGTGGCATACTACTTACACCACTCGCCCTGGTGGTTCCACCGCTTCGAGACACTCAGCAACCACTTCATCGAGCTCCTGGTGCCCTTCTTCCTCTTCCTCGGCCGGCGGGCCTGCATCATCCACGGGATACTGCAGATCCTGTTCCAGGTGAGACCGCGCCGCCCGCCCAGCCCCCGTGTCCACAGACGCTGGTCCATCGCCCTGTTTCTGGCTGCCCTGCTGTCTGGGAGACCCCTGGGGCATTATAGGCCCCCTTTCTTGGGGACAGCCTGTCCTCCCCAGCCTTGGTTGGTGTCAGGGCCTCAGCAGCTCCGTCTCATCCCCTGCAGGGGCCCGACTGCGGCCCTGTCCCGGGCTGGAGGCTGAGGGTCTCCTTCCCAGGCGTCCTCCAAGGACTGGCTCCTCCCAAGAGCGTTTCCTGCAGCTGCGAGAGGCCCAGCCGTGTCCTGGGCTCGGCAGCGGGACGGGGTCAGGCACGCCAAGGCCCTGTGTGGACGCCCCCACATTCCTGGGATCCCCTCCTAAGATTCTTCCATTCTAGAGGGTTCCTTTCCCGTGTTCGTGTCAGTCCACTAGGAACCAGGGTCTGCGAGAGGCCAGGGTCATTTGTCTCCATGTGGGTGAGGGACTGCCTCCCCCTGCCCCCGGAACCCCAGGCACCCCTGAACCCCCGTCCTGCCCACGCTCACTGCCATCCCTGCCCCACAAGACCCCTGCATTGAGGGCGCCTCGAAGGGCAGGGCACCCCCACGCCGCCTCCGGCCGGGCAGTCCCGGGCGTTTGCTTTTCCCTGTAAACACTACATTCCGATTGTCAATTCCCAAGGAAAACGTGGTGGGGATTTTAAAGGTGGTTCTCTCTCTCGATTGTTTCGATGGAGGTGTGGCATACATCCAGGCAATGCGCGGGTCCTGGGGTGGCATTCCACGTGCTCTGGAAAACAGATGCACCTGGGTGTGCCATGCCCCTGCCCCCGCCCTGCCCCATGTCCCCGCCCCCCCCCCCCCCCCCCCCCCCCCCCCGTTCCCGCCCTTCCCCTGCCCACCTCTGCCCCCCTGTTCCCGCCCTTCCCCTGCCCTGCCCACCTCTGCCCCCCCCGTTCCTGCCCTTCCCCTGCCCTGCCCACCTCTGCCCCCCCGTTCCCGCCCTTCCCCTGCCCTGCCCACCTCTGCCCCCCAGTTCTCGCCCTTCCCCTGCCCTGCCCACCTCTGCCAGAGCACCACAGCCTCTAGGGGCAAAGCTCCGTCAGCAGGCGCAGGTGCCACGCCATGTTGGTGCACGTGGGGGCGCCCACGGTTGTTGGCCAGGCCCTGTTTCATGGTGTGCATCCTGCGGTCAGTCTGTCTGTCCTGTCTGTGCGCTCGTGGTGGTTTCTGGTTTTCACCACAGCCTGCCATGCACACACGCAATCTCGTCATCCCATGGACGTGTTTTCAAGGGCACTGCTGTACCGTGAGCAGACCTGTGATTCACTTTACTGGAAGCTGCACGTGTCCCAGGGTGACTGTGCCGTTCTTGACCCCTCCCCCCAGCAAGGACCCTGGCTGTGGTTGCAGGGGCCCTGAGCAGCTCCTGATCTCCTCGGGCTTTTCCACGTTAGCTGCTTGGAGGCAGGCGCCGGTGCCCATGGGGTGATTTCTCTGGCGGGCATCGATGTCACTGTGAATCTAAGTGGGAAGAACAGACTTGCTCACAGATCGCCCCCGTCCAGGACCGCACGTTTCTCTCTGCAGCTGCTCAGGGCTCCTGGAATAGTTTCAGTTGGTTCCATGTAGCCGTACCCCACACATGTCTGCAGGCTCCTAGAATAGCTGTACCCCACACGTGTGTGCAGGCTCCTGGGGTAGCGTCAGTCGATTCCGTGTGGCCGTGCCCCTCGCGTGTCTGCAGGCTCCTGGGGTAGCGTCAGTCGATTCCGTGTGGCCGTGCCTCTCGCGTGTCTGCGGGCTCCTGGAGTAGCGTCAGTCGATGCCGTGTGGCCGTGCCCCTCACGGGGGCAGCAGCTCCAAGATGACTTATTTTGTTGATGTTGCAAATGGTGCCATTTTAACTCACACTTCCTCCTCTTGGTTGCTAAGTGTGGGACTCTGGTGACCTCAGCCTTTCTCGGGCGACCTCTGCACTGGTACTACCCTGTCTGTCCACGGGTCCCTCGCAGACGCATCCTGTGGGCGATCTGGGGATTCTGCCGGTTCTTCGTCCATCCCTTTCTCCCCTGCTGGGTGGGGTTGAGTGCCGTCTGGGTCTAGGGTCCCACAGCAGGGAGGGCCCCCGCCCTGCGCACTGTCTGTCACGATGCCAGCTGTGGGTTGTTTTCGTGGCTGCTTTTATTCACTTCTCCTTTGTGGTTTTTCGCCACGAATGGATGCTGAGTTGTAGAAAGTGTTTCTCCATCAGTCGTGAGATGCTCGTTCTTCCATCCGTAGCGTGGCAGGTTACGTTCATGTTGCAGGTGCTGAAGCAAGTTCACATTCCCAGCACAGCTGAGCCTCTTCCTCTGCGGGAGTCTGGAAAGCAAAGGTGGCCATCCCTCACACCTGGCAGTGCTCCCGCGTGAGGCCACCTGTGCCGCCAGGGTCTCTGTGACTGATCACCCTTGGAAGCCACAGGACAGGCGGGGTTTCGATTCCTTCTTGAGGCAGTTTTTGTGGTGAACATTTTCCTAGGAATTTGTTCATTTCATCTGTTTTCAAATCTTGGCCAAAAAAAAAAAGAAAAGTCATAATATTATCTTAGTTTTATAGTCTCTTGAGTAGCCAGGACTACAGGTGCCACCACACCCAGCCATTTTTAATTTTTTGTAGAGACGGGGGTCTCACTATGTTGCCCAGTCTGGTTTTGAACTCCAGGGCTCGAGTACTCCTCCTGTCTGACCTCCTAAAGTGCCGTGACTGCAGGTGCGCGCCCGGCCTCAAGGCCTGTGTCTTCACCGATGCAGCTCCTGAGACAGCGGGAGCAAGGTCATGCTTAGGGTCAGCCTGGCCGTCTGTCTCTGTTAAGTAAAGGGCCATACATCTCAACTGACATATTTGGACATATTTCCACATCTTTGTGTTTTTCTCTTTGTTCTTTGTATCTTTCACATTTTTTCCTGTTACTTTCCCTCCGTTTCCTCAGTGGTTATCAGCCGGGTTAACTTACTGGAGGTCTCAGTTTGGGCAGCATCTTTGCCACCATGACCCCCTGAAGTCCTCAGCCCACCTCTGCCCACCCCAAGCCACCTGCGTCCATTCCTCCGGTGTTTCAGCTCTGTTTTATTAATTAAGAGACTTATTGTAGAACAGTTTTAGGTTTTCAGAAAAACTGTGCAGAGACTTCAGAGGCTCCCTTATCCCCATCCCAAACAGTTTCCCTGCACTCAGCCCCTTGCACTGGCCGGGACATTGTATAATTGATAGGCGGGACTGGTAAACTGTTGCCAGCTAGAGTCCCCAGTGGACAGGAGAGTCATGTGCAGTGTTGCTCATTCTGTGAGCTCCGACAAACGGACGATGGACGACAACGCGTGTCCCCATCACAGCTTCACACAGTCGCTCATGGCTCTGGAAGTCCTTTGTGCCCCGCCGGCCCTCTGTCTCCACGGTGCTGCCTCTACTGGATGTTGTGGAGTGGGGAGCATCGTGCGGCCTCCGCGAACTGGCTCCCTTTGCACGTGGGGCTCCCCGCTCCTCCTGGAGCCTCCACCGCCCGTTTCTCTTCGGCACCGAGACCCCCGTGGTCTGCACGTGCCCCGGTTTATTTCCCCACTCAGCCTCCGAGGGGCCACAGATGGAGCCCCGGGCACATGTGCTTCCCACATGGGGCACGAGGAAGGTTGTGCTGAGCACAGGAGTGGGGCCAGGGCTGACTGTGCCAGCTCTGGGTCCCACTGCCACCCAGGGAGGAGTGTCCAGCCTGAATGGAGTGGTCTATTCCAGGATTCCTAACCTGGGTGGTGCCGCACACACGGGCGACTCCTGAGCCGTCTTCAGCCATGTGGTCCTGGGGTCCCAGCTGCTGGAGGAGGGCCGGGCTGAAGACTCCCAGGAATGCCCCCCCATTCCCCAGCACCCCCCGTGTGGGCTGCGCTGCCCCAGGCTCCCGCCTGCCCCTGCCAGTGGAGAATATAGAGCTGCCCCTGCCAGGCTCAGGTCTGGTTCTGAGGCCAGTCCAAGGGCACCCCTGGACACACGGCCAGGTGGGAGTGTAGGCCTGCTTGGCTCCGTGGTTGCCTGGCAGTGGGGGGTGCTCAGGATCCCACCTCCCTCTTCCACAGCCCGTGTACTCTGTAGCGTCCCTCCCTCAGGCTGTGGTGGCTGGTTCCACCACTGCCCCTCTCCAGATAAGCTGATGCTGGCTGGGAGAAGCGCTCATGAAAAGCAAGGTGCTGAGTTACTTAAGTAAATCAAGAAAGCTGGAGTCACTTGAGGGTTGAGTTACCATGACATGGAATGGGGGAGGTAACTTTTGAACCAGAGGCCTCAAAAACATCCTTGTTTATTCAGAACGCAGGAACCTGGCCAGGGAGTCGAATGAGAATTGGACTAACGGGCCACGGTGCAGGCGGACAGGGACCCTCCCAGGCATGATGGCGGGGCTTCGGGTTCCCTCAGTGCCAGTGCTGGCCTAGTTTTGGAGTCCGCTGCCTGGTGGGGGGAGTGGCAGAGGACAGTGGGGATGCTGGGAAGGGAGGGGACAGAGCTGGGTCTCACTGCACCTGGGCCTCTGAGCATCACCCCCAAAGACCCAGCACAGGCAGCGCCTCCCATCCAGGCCTCAGAGGTCAGGCCATGTCATCCTCTCCAGCCCCACACCGTGTCCAGGATGAGGTGCAAGCAGCCGGGGTGGTGGCTGTGCTCTGCAGCCTGGCCTGGCGTCCCCCTCAGAGGAGAGGACGGTCGGCCACTTGTCCCGGCCACGATGCGTCCTGCCCCCTCACAGGCAGTGTGGGGTTTTCAACTAGGGCTTTTGCCACCACAGGCGTATGGGGCAGAGGGTGTTTGGGGGATGATGCGGTGTGGGACTGAGAGTGACCCGCGCCCTCTACCATTGTAGTGCCCTGGCCGGGGCCATGCCCTCACCTGTGCCAGCCGAGTGCCCTGAGACCCAGGGCCACCTCTGAGCGTTGCCTCCCTGGGGCCCCTCCTGGTTCCGTGTGTTCCCGTGTTCCTTCCATTGGGGAGCTGAGGCATGAGCCGCCTCCCTCCTCCTACGCACAATTTACACAGCTGTTCCGGAGAGTTCCACGGGGCCCTGGGGCCACTGCTGCCTGGAGAGGTGCACGTGAGCAGTGACCACAGAGCCTGGCCACCCAGCCAGCACCCACGGGAGCCATCAGCCTCCACCAGGGCACTGGGGACAGGGAGACACACCTGGGGCTGCCAGGGTGGGAAGGGCAGGGGATGAGCTCAGGTCTGGAGCCTCTGAGGCGCCTGCTCACAGGGGGCTGTCCAGCCCCACCCCACCCACTCCGCCCTAAGGGCTCCTTGCCCTGTGGTGGCTGTACCTCATGCCCCTTCAAGTCAGAGGCCCTGTCAGCCCCGTGCACAGGCCGGCTGTCCTGAGGCTGTCCCGGAGGGAGCTGGGCTCACGGCTCCGAGCTGTGTGTGGTTGTGATGAAACACAGATAATGCAAAGTTCACGCTTTTGAAGTGAACTCAGGGACGTTCAGAGTGTTCACAGTGACGCAGCCACCCCTCCGCCTGGTTCAGAACTTCCCTTACCCCCGACACCCCCCGCCGGGCCTCCCCCAGCTGCCGGGCTGCTGGGAGCCTCATCTCTGGATTCCCGGCCCGGACGTTCCATGCAGCTGGCCTCCGACGATGTGCGGCCTCGTGTCCAGCCTCCCTCCCTGAGCGTCAGGACCCTGGGCCTGTCCCTTCCGGGGCATATGCTGAAATCCAGTTCCTTTGCAAGGCTGGATGCGCTTGTGTGTGTCAGGCACAGGGCTCTAGGTCACTGCTATCATGGACGCTGAGACCTCAGCAGATTCTCTACCTCCCACCATGTTCCCCATGTTCTTTCGCCCACATCTCCTCTCCGTGACACCGGAGAGAGACCTGGGTTCATGCCCACCAGAGTGCCCACCTGGGAGCACAACACATTTCCTCAGCAGAGGGTCCCCGTGAGCGCAGGCGTGTCATCCGTGGGGGGTCCCTGTGAGCGCAGGCGTGTCGTCCGCGGAGGGTCCCCGTGAGCGCAGGCGTGTCGTCTGTGGAGGGTCCCTGCGAGCAGGTGTGTCATCCACGGAGGGTTCCCATGAGCTCCCTGCGAGCAGGCGTGTCGTCCGCGGAGGGTCCCCGTGAGCGCAGGCATGTCCTCAGCAGAGGGTCCTCACAAGCGCACCTGTTCTCCGTGGCAGCTGACAGGCGGGAGGCCCCAGAGGCATCCAGAGACCCCAACCCCGCTCTTCCTTCTTGGGGCCACACGCCACTGGCCTCAGAACCCCTGCTGCTCCGTCTCTTGGCCCCAGGATTCCATCACCTCGAGCTCCTCTTCCTGTGCCGGCCATGGGGACCCCTCTGGCCTCACCCCTGCTCCCAGCCACCGGCTGGGTCATCTGTGGGCTGCACGGCCGTGTGAGGACTCTGCCGGCCGGGGGCGAGCACAGATGGGCTCTGAGCAGATTGATTTCCCTCTGAGGAGATGGCTCAGTGACGCTAGAAGAAAAACAAGGAAGACTAGGTCCCCCAGGAGCACTCAGGCCGTGCATTCTACACGGAACTGCGTTTTCATAACAAAACAGCTGACCAGATGGAGGGCGAGAGATGCACCAGAGCAGCTGAACGCTGCGCGGCGGGGTCGCCTCCGCACGGAGCAGGCCCGAGTCCCCGAGCCCTGAAGCTTTCTTAGAAACAGGATTTCACACCCAGATCTGTGCTCCATGAAGCCCTAGTTCCCTGAGTCTAGAGTTCCCCACTGAGTTCCCATCAGGATGACCCAGGGGGGGCTTTGGAAATACGCTCGGGGGAGCCCACCCTGACAAACGCAGGCAGGGGCTCAGGACTGGGCGTCGCTCGAAGCTCCTGATGGCTGTGGTGTGGCCGAGCCCCGGAACGGGCCCTGGCTCAGGCTGGGCCCCCGGTCGCTTTGGTCCCATCTGCCAGTCAGGCTGACCACAGGGAAGGGCCGGAAAGGCTGGAGCTTCTCCCACCAGGAATGGATGGCAGGACATTCTAGTGTCACCTGGGGCGCCCCCTCCAGAGCACCCCAAAGAGTGGGTGCAAAGGCCAGACCTCAGTGCCCAGCCCTGCACCCTCCCTGTCACGGGAGCTCAGGGGCTCCCAGCCGCCCTGCCCCGCCCCAAACCAGCCCTGGTCACACTCAGGACAGAGGGCGTGGGGGTCTGGACCGCCAGGGAAGCTGCTGGCAGAGGTGGCTAACCCCAGCCACAGCAAGGTGGGGCTGGTTTTAGCACAAGGGGTTAGTAACATTGTAGACAGTGGAGAATAAGAAAGTATTAATTTGGGGCTCAGAAGCAGGAAAGGTATTTTTCCAAATTAACCCAGGGAGAGCCATGAATGCACAGTTCATAAAACGCCGTCATCGTCTATAAAACTGATGCGGCTGCCCCTGTGAGACCCTTATTAGACATCGGGGTCCATGTCCTCAGCCCTCCTCCTGAGTTACGAGGTCCATGCCCTCAGCCCTCCTCCTGAGTTATGGGGACAAAGACTGGGCTTTAGTGCATCAAATCTGGCCGACAGAGCCGTCTGAGGGAGCCACGCCCGGGTCCTGCCTGCCCAGGGTCCACCGGCTCAGCCGCAGACCGTTACGCATGCGGGGCGACCGGCCACGCAAGCCGCCGCCATCTCCCTGACGCCTCCACGGCAATGGCCAGGGTGAGGTTTGGCAGCACACCTGTGACATCACCTGATGGAGCTGCAGGGACAGCAGCTCAGTCTCCAGTTTCATCACCTAACGATCACTGGCCTGCAGGGGTGTCCAGAAGCAGGTCCCTCCGAGTCCCTCCTGCTGCGGCTTTGCCCACTACTGCTGCTGAATCTTTCCCTGGAGCCCTCCCGGCCGTGCTGCCCAGCCAGCCCTGCATGCAGCCCCTCCCCTCTCCTGCTGTTCATCTCTGTGGCACAGGGGCCCATGCCTGTGTCTTGCTTCCTTGCACTTCATATTTTGGACTGGGAGCGTTACTGGTGGACCCCCATGGCCCCTGTTGTCCGTGTCACCTGTCGGCTGAGGGGCGTCCCCGGCAACCACTCTCCAAGCACAGCCTCCTCTGTTTGGACACGCCAGCCCTCCCCGGGCGTGACCCCGGCAGGCACCCTTTGCAGGTGAGGAGTTCCAGGAGGGCACAGGGTCTGGTCCAGCCCCAGCCTTGCGCATCAGTAAAGCAAGGGACAGAACCTGCACAGAAGCGTGCAGTCATGGGAGGAACATTCTGGAAGCATCTGCCAGAAGGCACCTCTGAGGTCCCCTCCATGAAGGCACAGCTGGGTTTCAGTTGTGATGCCAGGGCTGGGGGATGGCAAGGGCAAAGCTGGGTGCAGGGCCCCCCTGCTCCAAGAAGGGAGGATCCAGCCACCCTGGGACCCTGCATGAGGCTCAGCTGCAGCGTCTCCACAGGCCGTCCTCATCGTCAGCGGGAACCTCAGCTTCCTGAACTGGCTGACCATGGTGCCCAGCCTGGCCTGCTTCGATGACGCCGCCCTGGGGTTCTTGTTCCCCTCCGGGCCAGGCAGCCTGAAGGACCGAGTCCTGCAGATGCAGAGGGAAATCCGAGGTGCCCAGCCCAAGCCCAGATTCGGTAGGTGGCTCAGCCAGGGGGCCCTGCCCCAGTGCCCACAGGCATGAGAAAGCTGGGTGGTGCCAGCCCTACACCCTGCCCCTGTGGGTTGGGGATGCCAGGGTAGGAGGTGAGTCAGTGTTGTCCACTGTGTAGCATGCTGAGAACAAGGTGCCTGACGTCAGCTGCTGCTCCGTCCCCGGGACCCCGGACAGCTGACCCTTAGTGAGCACCAGCTGGGGTCTCCCCGGGACAGGCCAGGGGGCAGCTGGGAGCCCCACCTGGAAGATCTCACTCCCCTGCCAGGCTCTGTGGTGCGGCGTGCAGCCAACGTCTCCCTGGGCGTCCTGTTGGCCTGGCTCAGCGTGCCCGTGGTCCTCAACTTGCTGAGCTCCAGGCAGGTCATGAACACCCATTTCAACTCTCTTCACATTGTCAACACTTACGGGGCCTTCGGAAGGTATGGGCCTGGGGTCCCCGTCTCCCGGAGCTGGGTATGTGAGGAGACTCAGCCCTGAGCAGCCACATTCAGGCGGGGTTGGAGTGCGGGCCCCCATGACCCCAAGTGTCCCCTGCCCCACCCCAGCGTGACCCAGGCACAGGCCATGCTGTCCCCATTACCGGGCCTGGACATGCAGGCCTTCTCTGTCCTGGTCCCATGAGGCAAAGAGGCAGGGCCTGAGGTCACCAGGCAGGTGGGCTGCGGCCCTGGAAGGCTTCTGGGGGCATAAGGAAGAGGCTCCAGGCCCTGACCCCCTGGGTGGGAATGCCGGGCAGTGCTGTCTGAACACAGGTGCTCTCCCTGCCCTGGGGCAGCCCCTGGCCTCTTCCCCTTGTGTCCACCCCGAGCTGCCGAGGGGCGTGGGGCACATGCCGGCTGTGGTCGGGTCTTCAGGGGCAGGGAATGTGCTCTCGAATGAGCCCCTGGGGCCAGTCCCCGAGACTCCCCAGCCCCACCCAGCCTCACAGTAGCCCCTGACCAGGAGGCAGGTGGGGGTGTAGGCCCTCCACCTGGGCCAGGATGGTCAGTCGGGGAACCCCCATGCACCCCACTCAGCCCAGCCGGTGTGTGATGTGGGCCTGGCCTGCCTCGGCCTCCCGGCAGCATCACCAAGGAGCGGACGGAGGTGATCCTGCAGGGCACGGCCAGCCCCAACGCCAGCGCCCCCGACGCCGTGTGGGAGGACTACGAGTTCAAATGCAAGCCAGGCGACCCCAGCAGACGGCCCTGCCTCATCTCCCCGTACCACTACCGCCTGGACTGGCTCATGTGGTTCGCGGCCTTCCAGGTGGGGGACAATCCCCAGTGGGCGCACAGACCCGCCCATACCCCGCCCTCTTCTGCCCTCAGAGGACAGGTTCCTAGAGCACCCACTGAAGGGGCTGGGGGGATGGGATCCTGCCTGAGCTGAGAACTGAGCCCACACGACATCCAGGCCCAGCCCCAGCGTCCCCCAGGGTCTGCCAGGTGGGGTCTCATGCCAGGAATCCCAGCCTGGGTGCCATAGCGAGGCCCTGAATACAGAATTAGCAGCAGGTGAGGGCAGCGCCTGTGGTTTCAGCTACGTGGGAGGAGGAAGGATCGATTGAGCCCAACCGCTGCAGCCTCAAATCATGACTCCATTGCACTCGAGCCTGGGGACAGAGCCAGACCCTGTCTCAGAAAACAGGAAGGTTCGGTTCCCGGTCAGGGAACTGTTGGCCGGGCGCGGTGGCTCAAGCCTGTAATCCCAGCACTTTGGGAGGCCAAGACGGGTGGATCACGAGGTCAGGAGATCGAGACCATCCTGGCTAACACGGTGAAACCCCGTCTCTACTAAAAATACAAAAAAACAAGCCGGGCGAGGTGGCGGGCGCCTGTAGTCCCAGCTACTTGGGAGGCTGAGGCAGGAGAATTGCGCGAACCCGGGAGGCAGAGCTTGCAGTGAGCGGAGATCTGGCCACTGCACTCCAGCCTGGGCAACAGAGCGAGACTCCGTCTCAAAAAACAAAAAAACAAAAAAAAAAGAAAACAGGAAGGAAGGAATCCTCAGGGCTGGGGTAGCAGAGGCACTCACGGACAGAGCTGCTGTTTCTGTCCTCCTGGTCCCATCTCAGCCACCAGAAAACTGAGCCTCAGGGAGGCAGGGCCCAGACAGAGGGAGCTGGGGCAGACAGGCTCTGAGGCGCCCAGGCAGGGGAGTGAGGCCAGCGGCCGGCCTGGGAATGAGTGGTCAGGGCTACAAGGAGCATGCGAAGCAGGCGGCCCCTTAAGGGGACCCCAGCCAAAGAACTGGGATGTGACCGCCCAGGGAACCCACCTCCAGGAAAGCCTCAGGACCACACGCTGCTGGACAGACAGAGAGGCTGGCGCGGGAGGGAGTGGAGGGCACGGCCGAGCCTCTGGAGGGGCTGTGCCTGGACAGCGCGTGGCGCAGCCATCTCCAGCCCGACCTCTCCTCCCAGACCTACGAGCACAATGACTGGATCCTCCACCTGGCCGGCAAGCTCCTGGCCAGCGACGCTGAGGCCCTGTCCCTGCTGGCACACAACCCCTTCGCAAGCAGGCCCCCACCCAGGTAAGACGCCCTCCGCTGTTCAGGGGTCTCCCCCAAATCCAGGTGTCTGCTGGGGTCCCACCCACCTGTACCCACACCCCACCTGCTTACAGGAAGTGCCCCTTCCCTCCCGCAGAGGCAGAAGGTGGGGCCTGCTGGGAGCAAAAAGGGCCGCCCCCATCAGCCTTGGCATCAAGGCTGGTCCCACCCCTGCCTCATAGCCCACCTCAAACCAAACCTGCCATGGTGAGAGGAACCAGGACAGCTACTCTGGACACCATGGCCAAGGTCCCTGGTGAGGCAGGGCACCGCGGTTCACACCTTTGTTAAGGCGTCCTCCAGGTGCCTGCTCTGCTCCTGGCCTGGAGAGGCAAGAAGGACAGGCGGGGCCCTCACTCCAGGAGCCCCAGGGCCCATGGTGAACTGGGCAGGGGACTCCTGTGGGCCCTGCAGCCTGGCCCACCCTGGGCAGGGACTTGGTGACATCCCAAGGAGGGAGCCCTGTGGGGTGAGATTCTCGGGAGTCAGAGGTGGCAGCCATCGGGGGAGGTCAGCCTCCTCCCCACACCGGGGATGGCTTTCCAGACTCCACCAGGGGACCTGGGGTGCAGGGGAGAAGCCAAGGACCCTGAGCACTGTGACCAGAAGACAAGGTTTTGGGGAGAGCTGGGGCCTCCAGAAGAGGAGCAGGAGGCAGGGATGGGGCCCCACTGGGGTACGGGAGGGGATCTGAGGACAGTGTGGGGTGGGGTCCAGGGTAGGGCAGAGCATGGAGGATTGGAGACACCCACGTGGCCAGACCTGGGGTGGCTACTCTGACAAGCACTTGCATCCCCTGCCCCACATGGTTTGGACTGAGCAGCCCTCTGGAGGTTGTAGGAACAGAGCAGAGTCTGGACTGCCCACCCCTCCCCTGCACCATCAGCCGCCAATTCTGACGGAAAACATAGCTCTGGATTTTCCCTCCAGGAACACTTGGGAGCTGGGACAGCTGCACCCTCTGGAGTTGCTCACAGCTGTCTGGAGGCCGCAGCAGAGGAGCTGGAGGGTAGGGGTGAGAGGGGGCACTGAGGTCCAGAGAGGCAGCGGAGCAGCTGGGCCCCGAGTCTGGCAGTCCAGGCAGGGTACTCCTGGCCAAGTGATGCTTCCAGGGCTGCTTCCCCAGCACTGGTATTACGGGGAGCTGGGGCAGAGGGGCGATGGGGTTCCCTTCTCATGGGGAGTCTCTATCCCAGAGCCTCTGGTGGGGCGGCTGCCCTCCTAGCTGGTGCCCTCAGACAGGCCACCTTCCTGTGAATTAGCATGAAGCCCCAGGTGACTTGCCTGCCATGTGTCCACCAGCAGTCCTGGGAGCCCGAGACCTTGGAGTCTGGACAGGCAGACGTTTACCTCCTGGCACACTGGGGACCTGGCCCCAGAACTCGTCCTTCCAGTCTCAGTACGGGTCTTCTCTGTTACTGCCCCCATCTCAGCAGCCTTCAGAGCCCCTCAGCCCCCACCCCGATCGCGGCCTCCTCAGTGCCTGGGGACCCTGGAGCTGGCCCGGAGAAAGGTTTGCCATCGTCAGGTCGTGAGGGAGGAGTGCACAGTCGGATCGTCTGCTTCTCAGCCAGGAGGTGCTGAAACAAGGAATCATGTCAGAGCAGTTTCAGGTCCATCCATGGGTCCCAAAGTACCTGAAAGGATGGATACTGTGAAAACCAAGTGTGAAAAGCAGGAAGTATTTTATATGAGCCAGTAATGAGTTAACATTTAATTTAGGGAAAACATTCAAAACATCTGAAATATTGAACATTGCCACACAGCACACCTCTCCCCTGTCTCCATGATACACGTGTTTGGCAGCTGGAGCAGGCGGTACCATGACAGGCCATGGCCTAACCGTGGGCCTGCATTTAGTTCACCATTGACTTTAAAACTGGAAGATGGAGCAGACACTTATCCCTGTTCTTCCCACTAAGGGCGACCAAGATCCCCGGATGTTACATATAAAACAGGAAGACTGAAGGTGAGAGGAGAGAGCCCACCAGCAGGGCCCTCAGGATGGAGCCACAGCCCCAAAATGGCAGTGTTGCCTGGGCTTTCTTTCTGCCTCATTTTCTAGACTTGGAGGTGAGGAAACTGGAAACCCAGTAATGCCAGCAGATACAGACAAAAAAACACCTCAACAAAAATTTGCGCTCTCGCTAAAAGGCCAGAAAAGAGCAGCCTAGTAAGACAGGAAATTTACAGAAAATAATCACCGCTCCAGCCAACACCACAGAAAAAACCACAGCCCTACCCACACCGGCAAGGCATGGAGGAGGGAGCCCGGGCTCTCCTCCAAATGGGTAAGGGGTAACCACCCCTCGCTGGGGTGCTACCAGAGGAGGCCAAATAGGAAGCTGAGATTTTCATCTAAGTGGGCAGGAAGGACCCTCCCTGCTTCTGTGGTGTCAGTTGAGACCACAGGAGGAGCCTGGCCTCCCCCAACCCCTGGCAGTACTGAGGGGCTCCTCCCCTCCGGAGTGGTATTACATACTGACTAGCAGAAAGTCAGGACCTTCACCACCACCCAGCAGTGACTAGGCCACCCCCGCCATAGTGTCATGGAGGCCTAGTGCGGAGCCACGACTCCCATCCTACACGAAGCAACAAGGAATACCCACAATGTATCCACCGGAGTTCTACCCCAGCCTGGCTGTAGCAAGGCAGTACCCCCACTTCTCTACCAGCATGACGTCAGAAGAAGTCATCTAAAGCTGAAGGTTTAAATAAGATCCAGAATCTCCCAATATACAAAATGTTTGGTTTTCAGTGGAAAAATCACTTGTCGTAGCAGGAACCAGGAAGACATTGAACTGGTGAAAAAGGGCAGTCGACAGACGATAGCACCAACATAGGAGAGGTATTAGAATGACTTCACAGAGGTGTGAATGCAGCCGTCGAAAAGGCATTCAGTAAGCAATTATGAACACAACTGGTAAAAATACAGCCTCAGCAAAGAAATAGAAGATTTTTTAAAGAACCAAATGAGAAGGTTAGAAGTGAAAAAATAACTGATATAAAACACTCAACATCTGAATGGAAAGGACAGAGGAAAGAATCAATAAACTTAAACATAGAAAGTACCCAATGGAAACAAGAGAGAGGACATAGAAGGGAAAAAATAGCAAGAGCCTCAGGGATCTGTGGGACTGAGACTGTAACAAAAGATGCAGAATTCATGTCATCAAAGTCCTAGGAGGAAGAGAGAGCGAGCTTTAGGGCCGAAAATGTACTTGGAGAAATAAGAACTGAAAACTTCGCAATTTTGGCAAAAGGGGCAAACCTACAGAGTCAGTAAACTGAGTGAACCCTAAATAGGAAAAACCCAAAGAGATTCAAATCTAAACACATCAAAGTCAAATTTCTAAAAACTAAATAAGAGATTGCCAACCTGGCCAACATGGTGAAACCTCATCTCTACAAAAATAAAAAATTTGACTATGGTGGTACACGCCTGTAATCCCAGCTACTCAGGAGGCTGAGGCAGAAGAATTGCTTGAACCTGGGAGGAGGAGGTTGCAGTGAGCAGAGATCACACCACTGCACTCCAGCCTGGGCAACAGAACAAGACTCTGTCTCAAAAAAAAAGGAAAAGAAAAAACATGGGTAAACACAATAGACCTTCCTTCTCTTGAGTTCCCAATCATGTTTGATGGTTAAGCAAAGGCTATAAAACTGTCTGAAGTAGTTCAAAGTTTATGTAGAGGAAGTATTTAAGATAATTATAAATGGATGAGGGCAAATGGACACAGAGGTAAGGTTTCTATACTAAACTTGAAGTGGTAAAATGACATCAGTAGACTATAAGTTATGTGCCAAGAACAGCCAGTAAAAAACAACCTATACTGAGATACATTGGAACACACTATTGACAAATCAAAATGGAATTCTGAAAACACATAACCCATAGGAAAGCAGGTTGGGAAAAACAAACAAATCAGAAACAGAACAGATGACAAGAAGTAAAACGGTGAACTTTATATTAAATGTAAATGGTCTAAATAAACCAATTAAAGGATAAAGATTGGCCAGGTGCAGTGGCTCACTCCTGTAATGTCAGCATTTTAGGAGCTGAGGCAGGTGTATCACTTGAAGTCAGGAGTTCAAAATCAGCCTGGCCAATATGGCAAAACCCTCTCTCTACTAAAAATACAAAAATTAGCCAGGCATGGTGGTGCATGCCTGTAATCCCAGCTACTCGAGAGGCTGAGGCTACAGTGAGCCAAGATCATGCCATTGCACTCCAGCCTGGGCAACACAACAAGACCCTATCTCAAAAAACAAAAACGAAAACAAAATAGTAACTTAAATATCTGCATAATGAGCTTATGCCCTGATAAATCCAGCATAAGTTGAAAATATAAGTCAAAATGTGTTTAGTACACCTACCAAACATTAATCGTAGCTTAGCCTAGCCTACTACCTTAAACGTGCTCAGAACACTTACATTAGACTATAGTGGGCAAAATCATCTAACAGGCCTATTTTATAATAAAGTGTGGAATAGTGGAATATCTTATGTAATTTATTGAATACCATATGAAAGTGAAAACAGGATAGTTGTCTGCACACTCAAAGTGGGTTTCTACTGAGTGCATATCACTCGCATCATTGTAAAGCTGCAAAACTGTCAGTTGAATTCTCGTAAGTTAGGGACCAACTGTATAGGCAGGTTGAAAGTAAAAGGATAGAAAAAATACCATGTGAATATTAGTGAAAATAAAGGATTCATTGTATTAATGTCAAAGTAGACCTCAGTGCAAAAATTATCAGAGACAAAGATGTCCAATGAGAAAAGGCCCAACCCACCAAACAGACGTAGCAATCCTAAGTGTGTGCACTAAGCACAGATCTGCAAAATACGTGAAGAAGAAAAAGAACTGAAAGGAGAGCCAGACAAATCAACAATTACGGTTGGATGCTTCAACACCCTTCTCTCAAAGGTTGAGAGAGTAAGTAGATGGAAATTCAGCAAGAACACAAAAGAGCACCGT